CTCTCTCTCTCTCTCTCTCTCTCTCTCTCTCTCTCTCTCTCTCTCTCCCTCCCTCCCCTCTCTCTTCTCTCTCTTCTTCCTCGATCTCTTTCTTCTTCTCTCTTCCTCCCTCCCCTTTTTTACTTTTCTTTTTCCCTCCCAAATTTTTTCCCCCAGTACCTGTTCATCCAGGTAACCAAGGTGCATTTTGCTTCCATATTGCTTCCATCTTTTGCAAAAGTTTTACTGAAAGTGATTCAGCTATATACAAAGTCAGTAGGTGGACATCTGCTGTCATCTTGTAGCATCTAAACAAAATCAATTACGCTAAGAATCTTAAACTTTGCATGTACCTGTTAATAATTGCAAAGCAGTGGTCAATTCAGACAGCAAATTCAGGAAAAGCCTCTCTCCCAGATGTAGTTTCCCATCCTCTCCCATAGAAAAGGGATGTTTTCTAAGCAAAAACTTTGCTGTTTTGTCTGCCTAGTGAGTTTCATTTCTTTATTTCATTCTTTGTGTGGATGTGTGTGAAGTAACACCCCAGCTTCTGTGATCATAAATAAAGAAGTGAAAGTAATGACTGGAACTTAGAGTCCTTCACCAAAGGGAGATGGGGGGGTCACTCCAGCTGCAAAGAAAACTGCTGTCAGGACTTTAGGATTTTAAATTAGGAACAAATTTTTAAATGCTAACTAGTCATAAAAAATAGAATTGTGTTTAAATGACCCCCCTATCAGTAGTTTGACATTAAGAATCCTATATGAGAGCAAAGCTCAGATGAAGAGTCCTCATGAGTGCTAAGCTCCAGCTTCTGTGAATTTGTTTATACCCCCCCCACACACACACACATACATCTACTTTTGGATTTTATGTGCTCCCTGTATAAGGATAATGTAAAGATTACTAACTTCAGAGTTACAAGTAACTGGCAAAGATAAAGTTTAATTTTCATCTCTCCTTCATACACATTCCTACAAAATCGTTTAGCTTGTTAAACATGTATTTCTATGGAGTGGACTTGTCAGGAAGCAAGGCAGGCCAGCTTTAGGATCTCAAACATTAACCTGAGCGTTTCTTTAACTCATTTTATTTTTTTACAATTAAAGAACAGGAGGAGAGCTCAGAAATGACACCAAAAACAATTTTTTTAAAAAAGGCAGAAAGCTTGATTGCAAAAGTCTTACTGAAAGTCTATGTTGAAGTTAGAATGCTTTCTAAAATACGTATTTCCCACCCCACCCCTCACCATCTACACCCCCACCCCCAACCCCCCCCCCCCCCATACTTCCACCCCTCTCGGCAAACGTGTGGAAAATGATACTTGCTTTCCAGGTTTTCTGCAAAGCTTCTAGTATAGAAGTAGACAATAGGTGCTGAGGCTAGGACAGATTTTGTCCGGCAGAGGAAGGGTTAATTGCCCTTGTTTTACAGTTTGCATCTGTTACATCTTTTATAGCCCCCTGTTTAAACTAATCCTCAAGTCAAAGCATCTTCTCCAAGATGGACTTCTTTTCAGGATCCCTAGTATCCTCCAAACCAAGAGTTCTCTCTCTCCAAGTTCTGACAGATTCTACTCAAAAATGCAGTGTCTCTATACATATTTTAGGCACAAAAGTTTACAAGCCAGAAAGGATGTAACCATTTAGAAAGCTTGAAAGTATTACAGTAGTGGTTTTGATTTCTGTTTCCTTTCTTGAAAAATTATACTGTAGCTGTTTAACTGGACCAATATGGAATAGTGAAGAGAGGGAATATGTGTATGGGGGGGGCGTTGAATAAATATTGTCAAATTGAGGAGGGGGGAGCGTACGGAGCAAAAGGCTTATAATTATTCTTATGTTAGGAAAGCAGGGAGGGGGAATCCCACCTGGGGGACAGCGTCTTATTTAACTCCAAAAGGGTGATGGTGTGTGGGGGGTGGCGGAAGGCGGGGGGGGGGGGGCAGGCTTAACGTAATTACTGTTATCAATTTGCCTAAGTGTGCTGCGTGTGTGTGTGTGTGTGTGTTTTCCTTTGAAAAAAAAAATCGCCTGAAAACAAGTTACAATGTTGGGCTAAAGTACTTTTCGGAGGAAATGGTCCGCCTAGCATTGAGTCAAACAGCCTACTGTAAAACCCTGTGCATTCCCTCATACGGTCATGAGTTATGACTCATTTTGAAGATGTAATTCTTGTCTCTGATCTCCTTTGCTGGTGCAATACACAAAACATTAACAAACACAAAGCTACTCGGCCAGGGGAAGAAGTTTGGTTTTGTTTTCAACCCTGGCGAGTCTTTTCGGGTGCGTGGATGGGTTCTTTTCGGGTGGATATTCGGGCTCCCTTTGGCGCCCTGCATTTAAATGGGATATACCAATGCCCACATTGTTGCTGTGTTTGGTTGTTAGATAGAGTCTGCGTGCTGCTGAATCAGGGAGTCGAGTCCATGCGAACTGCCTGCCATCTGATCCACTCTTATCAATGAAGCAGCAGATCATGGCGGATGGCCCCAGGTGTAAGAGGCGAAAACAAGCCAATCCAAGAAGGAAAAACGGTAAGAAAAACCCCGAATCAAACTTTTCCTTTCGACTCCACTAGAGAGGGAGAGGGAGAAGGAGGAAAAATAAGCAGCAGCCGCAGCAGCAGCAGCAGCCGCCCCGGGGTTTGCTGGCGATCGCTTTTCTGTGTGGCCGAGGAGAGATCCGCCTGTTGTATATTTCTGGAGGGGGAGAGAGAGTTCAAGGAAGTCCCAGGGAAAGTGAGTGTCAAAGAAACCGGGGGTTCCTAGACCCTTCTCCTGGACTACATCTCCTCTTTGCTTCTCCCACCCCCCCACCCCCACCCCACCCTCACATCCTCTTCTTCCTCTTCTCTCACCGCTCCCCCCACCCCCACCCCTCCCGACCTCTTTGGAGTCTCCGATCCAGTGAGCAGAGTGCCAAATCTTGGAACTTTCTTCAAATTTACTGAGTATTTTTTTTAAAGAGGAGAGAAAGAGAGAGAGAGAGAGAGAGAGAGAGAGAGAGAGAGAGAGAGAGAGAGAGAGAGAGAGA